ATATTTTGAAATCTTATCGACTAATACTTTAAATCTTATAAAAGTCTATTTGCACATTTACGTATAAACTGAGTCACACGGTTGGCCTGATCTTTATTAAATCCAAGCTTACGCTAACCCTAAACCACACCTTAAAATATAGTTGTTAATTTCATCATGCAAAAAATCGGTATGTAAGTTATATCCTGAACAAGATTCGTATTACCTTTTAAAAATAAATTTTACTGCTCAGATGTTCAATTATAAGTGTTTTCTTATTGGAAACAAAACTGAAAATTAATTGAAAACAAAAATTTCACCCAACAGCGAATAAATCGGACACAACAGAACGAGCACAAAAGTCAAATAATAATCCGTTCAAAAAAGAAAACGACGAAATAAGAAACGAAAGAAAATCAGTGGATTTTGGTAGTGAGACATATGAATGTATATATAACCTTGCGAAAAGAAGAAACGACTGGCGCGCTGTTGTTAACTCGGCTATAACCGCGTAAGCGGTTTCCACGCCAGTAAAGAAGAAGACATTTATACAAATGTGAATTCACCATAGAGTTTTAAACCTGAAACCAAGAATGGTAATAGACAGACGATAATCCGGATTAACTGCACTAATTCATTTCAATTCAGGAGTTAGTGAAGTGAACTTCGTAGCTAACTTGCAATTAATCATCAAAATTGTAGAGAGTTAGTTGCATTTTCATTGGCAACATTGTTAAAAATAGCCAATTGTATTCTATTGTGAATGAAAACAAGCAACACAGTTTTTTTATATTTTTATTAATGAAACAACATCTTGATATGTTTTTATAATAAAAAAATGGTTTTGTAACAATTGCAATAACAACCGCTATATTTATCTTCTATCCATTTTCACTGAAAATATTATAAAACTGACAATCTGCTGTTTGCGAGAGCTTTAAACTTGTTTGTTTAAACCGTCTGTCACCAAGAAATTTGGATCTGATTAAGTGCGCAGTTAATTAGTCCGGATTAAGGCTACTCCGGATTAATTATAATTTCATTAAACGGTAACTGCACCTGCTACTTTGACATTTGCTTTTGTACGCTGCATATCAGACATTGAGAAAACGACTCTTACTCTTTTAAAATTTCACTAAAAAAGAAATAAGTGTATTATTAATACTTAAAACTTATAAACTACCTTCTGAAATCATACAACTCTTTTTATACTTTTCAACTGTAATCTCCAGATAAAGTTTTTCTAACAGGAATAATGGTAAAAAGATTCTGACATTCGGAATCACCGCGAAAAACGTCAAAATTTCACTTATATCTTTTACTTTTATTATAATTTTTCTAATATAATAATTGTTATGGGGTCGCCGCTCAACTCTTTTATTTAGGCACGCCAGTTATGAAGGAAATTCTTTATTCCTTTAGAGTTTAGCATAGCAACAAAGTTGTCGTCTACATCGTAAATAAATCAGAAATTCAATTCAGCAATATTCTGAGAATAGACAATATCATTGTTGCTCAGTAAAGTTCATTATTACAACAACAACACATTTTCGGCGCTAAACCAGAGCGGAAGCCGTAATGTAAACCGTTTCTTGATCAAACTTATTGAAATCAAGAATTTCATTAAAATACTTATAAAGTGGGCAACCAAAACAAAAAAGCCATCAAATTAACGCCTAAAGAGACATCATCCACTAACCAGTAGAGGACTAACGCTGCAAAAAGAATCTAGTGAACAGTTCGGAGAGAATGCAGCAGCTGATACTACCGTAAGCTAGTTTTAAGTTTATAGAAAATGGACTTGTTTAGCTACCCGATATATAAAAATTTTAAAAGATTGTTAATTGCAATAAATATAGTCGGTCAAATAAAATTTTTGTAAATCAGAGTAAACCATTGAAATGGAACAAATTCAGGAAGCCATTACACACCTAACAGGTGCTGTTAATGCAGCAAATGCAAAGCAGAATTAGTCCCCACAACGGAAGTTTTATTTCAAATAACCTTATTTCCTTCACTGAGTCAGACTTAAAAGAAATTAATAGATTACCGGGCAGCGTGAAAAATCTCCCAATATTCGAAGGATCTACGATCCAGGACTATGAAGTAGTCAGAACAAAGCCATGCGGCCTAAAAAATTTGATTTACAATAAAAACATTAAAAATCAGGCACCGCTACCACCCAGACAAATTAATCCTAAACCACCAGCCCGGATGGAGGTAGATCCTTCAATACATTCATGAAGAATAAACTGTATGAATCGACCGAAGGCTATTCAATTATTCTTTAAATATCCCTAGGAAAACCCAAAAATTATTTAATGTCCAAACAGAGGACGAGAAAATAAATTTTATGGCAAACATCCTACCTCATTTAGAAATAACTTTAAAAAACGGGGATATCGTCAAGTCCCTTATAGTTACGAGAGCTAATAAAAACTTTGTCTCTGAAAAACTTTCAAAAAATTCAAAGAAACAGTGGCCTTTTAAGGTTCCCTCAGCCGCAGGTGAAGTAAATATAAATCACAAACAAACATAAACCATTCTTAGTAATTATAGGTATTAGAATTAATTTGATTTCTTTATGTTACCTATTTTAAAGTCCTTTGAAATCATCATTGGTAATGATACCTTAAAGAATTGGGAGCACACAAACCCTCAAGGATGTGGTACTGCCACTAAAACAAAATATCTCTAAACAAATAAATAATAATCAAAAAATCCTTTATAAACATTAAGCTAAGTAAATGATAAATAAATATTCGAAACTTTTCGGACCAGTCTCCGACAGTGGAACAATCGACACAACTGTACCAGCAGAAAATAGAACAACAAGTGAAGTCCCTGTTGTGGATTGTTTCAAAAAACCAGACTCACCAGTAGAAAAAAAGTACAGAGTAGTTGTAGATTTTAAATGATTAAATGCAATAACTGAACCTGATTCCTATCCAAACCTGATTCCTATCGTAAACAAGTCTCTCACTAGTTTAGGTGAATGTAAGTACTTTACTACACTCGACCTTACATCCGGATACCACCAAATCAGGATAAAGGAAAGGGACATAGAAAATACAACTTTTTTTTACAGCGAATGGTATATATGAATTTATGGGTTTAAAAATGCCCCTACCAATTTTCATAGAATGATCAGTAATGTTCTTATAGGAAAATTCTGTTACGTTTATACCGGCGACATTAACAGAATAGTGAAAACTAAAGAAGAACATTTACAAAATATTGAAGAGGTGTTCACGTTTTTGGATAAAGCAAATTTAAAAATCAATCCGGGAAAATCTAAATTTTTTAGAACAGTAGTGAGTTTTTTTAGATCATATCGTTACGGGAGAAGGTATTTTGCCTGGTCCTGAAAAAATATCCGCTATTAAAAAAAATCCTACATCTGCTAACCTTAAGGACGTAAAAGGTTTCCTGGGTTGAGCATCATATTATAAGAGGTTTATAAAAGACTTTGCAAAAATTGTCAAAATCAAAACCGAGGAAAATTACTCCACAATAGAAAAAGAAATGCTAGCCATAGTTAAGTCCCTCGAAAAAAGAGGAAATTATACATGAAGAACCATCCAATTTTAAACAAACACCACATTAAATGCGAAGTTTACGATAAGGAAAACTTAATTAATATCTGGAAAAGAGCTCTAAACCCAAACATGATCAGTGGAACTAAAATCCAAAAGAAATATATTTCATTATTATAGCAAGTATATCAAAAAAATTGCTCACAATTTCGTTTCAGGATAACACAGAAAATAGTTTCCGATATCGCAGATGAAGATATTAAATTTAAAACAAGTAAAAAAGGTTCGGGAACAGCCGAATATTTTACACTCTTGGAACTTGCAAAATTGAAGCCGTTGAAATACTTTAAGGTGTAAAAAAAATCATATAGAGTAAAGTCAACCGAATGTTCGAAAATTCTGAACTGTAGGTACCAGGGTCTGAATATTCCGTGCCTAGGGTGTTGAACAGTTTTGGTTGGATTTTTGATCATAAGAAGGTAAATATTAAACACATTATTCGTGCAAAGATTTATTCCGTTATATTAATTCCTTCTTGGTTTGTGTACAGRAAAATGAAWGAATGAAGTGGAATTTAAAGTTGTGCTATATGGGGAGCAGGCGTGGTTGTCGAAATCGGTCGGTCGGGTCTCGAGCTATGTATGTATATTTTTCTAAAGGTGCCGCTGGCTACTGTGATTCCCTGTGCCAAATATGAGTTTTATATCTTAATTAAGTGCTTAATTATGGCACTTTATATGTTTTCGGCTAAAAGCGATTTGTTGGCGACAGAAAATGAAATTGAATTAGACTCCAACTATTTACATAAACTACATTTAAATAATGTAAATGAACTAGAACGAATAACATCAAAAAAGCATTATTTGAATTAGCTGAAGCTTTGTTGCAGTAGCACTGTCGTTAGCTTTGAATATCATACTTAAACCAAGAAAAAGAGGTTCATTCTTTAACCTACCAATAGTAGATTATAAACAGCTTTCAGTAGTCAATAATTAATAATCAGCGAGACGCTGATTATGATAGACAACAAAGTTCAAATTTCTGAACATATCGTATATATGTATTTATTTGAAACCAAGCGCTATTGCAACCATGAAAAGAATTTCAAAATAGAAAGAAATTCAGAAAAGTGTAAMAGCGAGCTGTTACGAACAAGAACACAAGGCGTGGCTCGGCGTACCAGCCGAGTACGAGCGACGAGCGCTTTCGTTTTTCTTCGTCATCCCCTCAACAACGGCGACAAAAGAGTTCGTGTGTGAACTGGTGATGATTATCAAAATTTCACTTTTATCTGTCAGAATTTTAATTTTTCTAATCTGGTTGCGAATCTGGTAACACCTTTTTTGGCCAATAAAAGCAAACTACAAATGTCAAATATTGGGGATATTGCAAAATAGAGCTCCAAAACTATTTTGGATTGACAACTCTTACACTTCGGTGCCGGTAGCTTAATTGCACATTTTCGCATTATTTTCTTCAAAATTGATGCACATCATCGTAAACACCTTGAGCATTGCGATACTTAACYACACAGAACGTTTAACTGTAACTCTTCTGCGTACTGCCACAAAAGTAGCAAATTCTTCAGTTTTTCATCATAAAAAATCAGCAGCCAAAAAGGTGAGATAAAAGAACCGCATATACAAYAATTGTTGATAGCGGCGAAAAGCATATGCATATAACTAGCTAAATCAAATATTCATGCTACATTAATCTGGAAAATTACGATTGCTGCCAACCGCATATTTGGAATCTTAGTTGGCAATAATTCGACGGTATGAGTTTGGTGGAAAATTCTAATATGCACTTATTTGCTGACAAACTAAAAATAGATCACAATACACTGATTTAGTTGCTTCAACTTTCATTACAATGCATTATTCTATTTAAATTACCTACCGCATTTCCTATTTATATATGCATATCTTGAGTTACTGTAAATTTTCTCAAAGTCATGAAGGTTTGCTAATTTTCTTTATGAATATTAAAAAATGGGAGATACTAAATTCTGATAATAAAGTTGCATTGCTAAGTGAATTTGCTTATAATCAATTACTTTTGGTTATACATCACGTTCACTTATAGAGTATAAAATGTAACATTTGCACAATATTTGCTGATAACAATTAACAAGGGGTCTGCGGAGTTATACGCCTTATGAATGCAATAGTGGTAAACATTTTAATTATACTCTCGCAACAAAGTTGCTAAAAAGAGTATTATAGTTTTGTTCACATAACGGTTGTTTGTAAGTCCTAAAACTAAAAGAGTCAGATAT